CCACTCACCTCAGCCTCCCAAAGGCGCGGGATTACAGGCTGAGCTACTGAGCCCGGCTCCCAGGTTCATTCTTATGTGACCAATTACGGGGAGAAAGACTGCACACATGGGTGTGCCTTTCCCAATTGTTGTGGACTGAATGTTTGTGTCCCCTCCTAAAAATTGGTATATTGAAGCCCTAACCTCAGTGTGGCTGTGTTTGGAGATGGGGTCTCTAAGGAACTCATTAAGGTTAAATGAGTTCATAAAGGTGGGGCTCTGATCCAATAGGATTAGTGACTTTATTTGAACACCCAAGAGCTCTCTCTGTGTCTCTGCACACACCAACGAAAGGCCATGAGAGGGTATAGTGAGAAAGTGGCTGTCTGTAAGCCAGGAGGGCCCTCATCCAAACCGAGCCCTGCTGGCACCCTGATCTCAGATTTTCAGTCTCCAGAACTGTGAGAAAAATTAATTTATGTTGCATAAACCATCCACTCTGTTATGGTTATGTTATGGCAGCCTGAGCAGACTAAGACACCAAGGAAACAAGGAATCAGGGCACTATGAGTGTCAGCCAGAAGCAGAAACAGGCAGTAGGTAAAGACTCAGATGCTGGTATTATCATATGAACGCAATGGGACAAATATGCCTTTTAGGTCTACAGAAACAAGAACCAAGTTTGAAAAGATCTACAGGGGAGAAGAAAATATAAAAGGTGCTAAGGCAGATTGTACAAAGAACCAAGAAGAGTTTTTAGAAATTAAAACACAGTAGTTAAAATGTAAACACCAGGTGGACAAGTTTAACTAGAGATTAGACACAAGTGAAGAGTGAACTGGAAGATGTCAGAGAAATAATCAGAATATGGCACAGAGAGACTAAAAGGGAAATTATTGGAGAGATTAAGAGACAAGGATAATAAAGTGAGAAGTTCTAGTAGACATTTAACTGGAGTTCCAGAAAAGGGAAAGGGCAGAGGCCACAACTAAACAGAAAATGACCAAGAATTTTTTAGAACTTATGAAATACACCAACCCTCAGATTCCAGGTCCCCAAACAGGATAAATTAAAGAAATTCATCCTGGTTGCATGAATCCCAGCACTATAGGAGGCCGAGGTGGGAGGATTGCTTGAGCCCAGGAGTTTGAGACCAGTCTGGGCAACATAGTGAGACCTTGTCTCTACCAAAAATCAAAAAATTAGCCCTGTGTGGTGGCACACACCTTTAGTCCCAGCAACTCAGGAGATTGAGGTGGAAAGGATCATCTGAGCCCAGGAGGTCAAGACTGGAGTGAGTCATGATTACACAACTGCACTCCATCCTAGGTGACAGAGTGAAACTCTGACTCCAAAAGAGAGAAGGAAGAGGCGAGGGGAGGGGGCAGAAGGAAGGGGAGAAGAGAAGAAAGGAGAGGAGAAGAGGAAGGGAAGAAAGAGTTCCAGGGTGAGACTCCAACTCAAAGATAGAAAGAAAAAGAGAGAGAAGAGTTTGTACCCAGATCCATTGCAAAGCTGTCTCCAATGTTCCTTCTCCTTACATCTCTGCCCCAGCCTCTGTCACCCTGTGACCTGCAAAGGTAGGGAGGATGCTGAAACACTCTGGAGACCAGAAAATAGCCTGTGAGGCCAGGTGTCCAAGAGGAGAAGGGACTGGTTGAAAATAGTGGAAACCAGCTATAGTAGGACTGAGAGACTCGGGTCAGCTCTGGAGTCTGGACATGCATTCCCCCTGGGCAGCTCAGCCCTCAACTCCCCTGTGGACTCAGGGCGGGGCTGAGCCTGCAGCTGGGACTTCAGGCATTCTGTCATGTTCCTCTGGTGACTTGGCCCAGCCAGGAGATCTCTCTGAGCAGCCTTGTGTCTCTCCAGATTGTGCAGGATTAACAGAAGGGTCATCAGGGGAGAATCCTGACTCGGTATGAGAGGTTCATGTGTGGGAGTAGCTGTGCTCCATGAGTCCCCAGTCTCTCCTTTCTCCTATTGAAAATTAAAAAGAGACACTATTAAAACATTCAAGAATTCATTTGAGCAAGCAGCCATGGTTTGTGGTTTGGTGTCCATGAAAAGGGCTTGAAGGAAAGGCTTGTATAAGGTTCATTAGGAAGCAAGCCACATTCAATTACTGATTGGATACAGTTATGTAGTTGCCTTATTTTGAAGTATCCAGGTAAGTGGTTCCTGATTATATTATCAAAGATTAATTGCTGGTTTGTGGTAGGTTGTAGCTAAGTTTTGTTTCTCTTTATGTTACTAATTTATAAGAAATCCATGAGTTATTTAGAGGTTTTCTTAGGTAGGAACCCAGAACACTTTTGCCACTTTAGTCTAAGTGTCCCCCATTTGATTATTTCAAAACACCACAGGGGGACTGATTTTTCCTACATTTTAGAACTGTATAGCAAGGAGGGTCTCAGATTCATGAATTTGTTTTCCCAACCTAACTCTTCTAGGACTCCCAGTAAAATACTAAATTTTTAGTTCCTTCCCCACATTCTCAAATGCTAACTTCCCCTCTCAAGCTCACAATATGGTCAATTATTTGAACTTTATTGTACATTTCCAACAGACATAGTATTTTGATTGTTTTTTTTTTTTACAGAGCAGTAAGTAACTTTTAAAACATTTGCTTCTTATTTTGAACATTTCGTGTGTGAGGAAAGCAGAGAATAATCTACTGACACTCCACTTTAAAAAAATCTTATGTCTCTTGTTTTTATCTTTCCTAGACACAAATACCTTACTTGAATGTCTTTGGGTAGAGTTTCCTCTTTGAAAGCTTTACAGAGTAGTGTGTCTTTTGCCACTCTCCTGTCTTTTCTGGTTTCTAGGTTTCAGAACTACCTAGAGATGATTCAAGATGTTCACAGTAGCTCTGTGTCTTGGAGTGTTTAGTATGAGCCCTGGGTCATCTCCTAGAGGATAGCCTGAGTTTTTACTCCTTGGAGACACATTGCTGGTTAGCCAGTGGGTTGTTAGTATTGAAGGAAAATGACAAATGATTCCTGCCCTCTGGATTCTCTCAGACTTGTGAGGGGAGAAAATCTATCCAAATGGACAAGTGTGGCAAGAACCGAAAAGCAAAATCACTTAGGGCACAGTGCAGTGCATCTTGGGAGTGTGGGCATTGAAGACTTGTGAGCAGAATGGAGATGGGAGGATACAGAGAAAGAAAGAAAGAGAGAGAGAAGGGAGAAAGGAAGGAAGGAAGGAAGAAAGAAAAGAAATTCACACACAAACAAATAGCAGTGAACACCAAGACAAAAGAAGTCTCTAATGTAGCCAGCAAAAAAGTCAGATTACTTTGAAAGGATTGACATTTGGCTTCCTGACACTAATAAAGGAAGTCAAAAGATAATGGAAGGATAGATTATAATCAAAAGAATAGGCCGGGGATGGTGGCTCAAGCCTGTAATCCCAGTATTTTGGGAGGCCAAGGCAAGAGGATTGCCTGAGCCCACGGGTTCGAGACCAGCCTGGGTAACATGGTGAGACCTTGTCTCTACAGTCAATCAAAAAATTAGCCAGGCATGGTAGCACATGCCTGTAGTTCCAGCTATTTGAAAGACTGAAGTGGAAGGATTGCCGGAACACAGCAGGTGGACACTAGGGTGGCCATGAGTGTGCCACTTCACTCCAGCCTGGGTAACAGAGTGAGACTCCAGCTCAAAAAAAAAAAAAAGAAATAAGTTTCCAATAGTTAAAATGAAATAAAAATATTTTTTAGACTGAGAACCATTTGCCATTATGAAGTAACCTCCTTTATTTCAAGTGTTGCTATTTTTTACCCATAGATCATCATAAAGGAAAGCCCAAAGGATGTTTTTCAGGCAAAGAAAAGTGATTCCAGGTTTTAAAACTGAAATGCAAGAAGCAGTAATGAGCAGAGAAAGGGGTACTTATGTGAGAAAATCTAAACAAAACTGATTGTACAAATCAATAATAAACTTTGTTTGAGTCTAAAAAAAAATTTCAAAATAATTTATTTTAAAAGAATAAATTTATTTTAATTTAAA